TACGCAGCCCTGTGGAATTTATTTAGTTCGGACTGTCCAGGGACCTCTGATGCAGGGGCTGTTCTGGTCAGTTTTTGGGAATTTGATTCCCGCTTCGTCTCTCAGTCAAATTGAGTGTGTGATACACCAAAATGAAGTTTGAGATGTCTAGTTTGTAGGATAAAAATTTGAGAGCAATTGGATGAGTGGATTGTGCACAGTAATTCGAGAAGTGTAAGTGGTTTTGGTGCTGTTTTGGGGTTGGTTGGCTATTTTACTTATCCAACTTCAAACGGCGATAACCGGAGCAAATGAGCTCCGAATTGAGCGTGTGATAGCTTGTTGAAAAGGAAATTAAGTAAGACAAAGATATAATCTGAAAAGAAGGTATGGTTGTGAGCGGTGTGTTCGCAGAAAATTGATGAGTGAACCATGTTCGAAAAGGTAAAAACGTAAAGTTTGGTAATTGACTAAGTGAGTTTATGGGAATCCCTTACTAACTTGTAATAAGTAAAGTAAATTATAAAAATAGTTTAAATAAGTCTTCCGCAAGAGTTTACGGTTACGGTCACAGCTTTAATTGTTACGCGTTTTATTGTTTTAAATGCTCGCATAATAATCGGAAAAGGTTTATTCGTATTTTTATAAATGAATTGTTGTGATTGTAACTGCGTTTAATATCATAATTAATGTTAACAATACCGGTACGTAACGGGCTGTTACAACTGTAAGAGTAAATAAATAAATAAATAAATAAAAATACCTCCATTGACTAAAATTATTTATCATCTGGATTTTGCTTTCTCATTTATCAGCACTTGTATCGCTTATAACAGTTCCAGGGGACTGTTTGTCTTGCCCTTGTGCATACATCTTGCATTTGACAGCTTCATGCATCTCTTGTTAACTCAGGTTGTTTTGGAAAATTACGGGGATGTCAAGCAAGATTCTCAAATGGGAATGCGAAGTGAGGCTTTATTCTTGGAGAATGATAGTGAATGACAGAAGACAACTTAACGTGCCTATGTAACCGTCCTTCTCAATTCTCATTATAATAGCTTATGTTTTGAGTTACTCGTCAGTCATAATCATCGTTAACTTATTTTTTTTTCCTTCTCCATAGAGAGGATGCCATGAACCCTGTATTTTGGTCACGAGTTTGCATACAAAATGTGGCAAAGTTAGCCAACGAGGGTACAACTGTATGACATGTTCTGGAATCCTTGTTTCGCTATTTTTAACAATGCCAATCTCTGGTCTCCAGAACATGGGCTTGCTCTTTCTGTCTTGCTCGACATGCAGTCTATAATTGAAAATTCTGGTATTTGTTTTCTTGAGTGCTCTAAGATTAGCTTTCTCTTGAAGTATCTTTACCCTATCTAAACAGTTTATAATTAGGTTCGCTGTAATTTACAGGACATAATACACACTTGTTACTGTCTATTTTAGTCAAGCACCTTGATCACAAGAATGTCTTAAAGAATCCTAATATGCAGCTTGACATTGTTGGTGTTATTACCCATCTTCCTCAATAGACAAGGGTTCAACAATCCGTGGCTATAATTGGTGCATTTAGTGATATAATGAGACACCTGAGAAAGAGCATACACTGCTCTCTTGAAGATTCAAATTTAGTATGTCTATAAATGCCTTGATAGCTGAACAATTGAATGTAATAGTTTGCATAACCACCTGAAAAAAAGTACTATGTACAGATTCTAAGTGTAAACTGAAACTCGATCCTACATGTATACATATATAGATATGTAAAATAGTGGATAATGTGTATGTGAACTTGGTGTTGATCTAAGATATGAATTAAGATATAGAGTACGCGATGTGTGTGATATATGATTATATCATTCATGGGATTATATGATCCTCATGTGCTCTTAAATGTATACATACATTTAAAAAGGTGGTACTGATAATTTAAAGCTGGTTCTGTTATAAATTATTGGTTGAATAGCCTTATAATTGCATTTGTTTGAGTAATTATAATTGTACACATTGCATAACATTGCAAAGAGTATGCATAGTGGGGTCTGGCTCATCTGATATATGGACAACTTCCAAGTCTTCAGAGCTAATTATTTCACTGCTGAAAATCGGTTCAGATGTATCATCAGTCTTTATCTGACTAATAGAATCAAGCACTGGATTTGAATCATTAGGCTCAATGACTTTCTTTGTAGCATTTATCACAGCCTCTTGGTTGAACCCAATTTTGTCTTGTATGCTCTCCAACTTTAGTCTCTTGGGTGGTGGTAGCTTGGCTTCAGAGTTACCACAAAGGGCATGCTTATTTCTTGCAACAAAATCCACAATCATATTATTTGGAGATTCAGATTGGAGGGATTTTCCCGTTGTAGTATGAAAAGCCATAGACTCATTTTTCTGGGTAGTCCTCGAAGAACCTCTATATTTTAACATGTCCATCTCCCCTGCCAAAGTAGTCAATCAAATGGGTAAACAATACATTATTGAAAGTAAAAATAATCTAGCAGAAAAGGAAAAATAAAAGCAAAAGTGCGCACACACGCATTGAACTTAGAAAGAAATCAAAAGCTTATACAAACATACAATCATTTGCAAGCTGCTGAGGAAAGACGGAACAATTTGATTTGGAGCTAGCTTCCACATTGCATTCCCCACCAGAAACAGGAAAGTCAGAAAACAAATCCATATCACTACGTGTAGGGATTGATGAACAGTTATCAGGCGAAAAAACTTGCTCTTGAACAGCAGAAGGGTGAGATAGCCCACCGTTTGGATATCCATATTTCTTGTTTACAGTCATTGAACAATAATCTGTGGCATTTATGATAGGACCAGCCACTTGAAAAGCAAGTTCGGGTAGACTTCCATTAGACCAAGCATGTAATAACCCAGATGAGGGTACTGTCTGAGATGTGGAAGGAATAGAACTATCTACTTGTAGTTGACTACATTTTGTCCCAAACACCGTATTCAGTTGAGTATGAAATCGCTGTATCAACGTATGCTCGTTCCTATACTCCTCCTGCCAAAAATATAGACAGAAAAATCATCAACAAATAATAAAGATGCTTAGTTATCAAGATTTGGGCACAACTTGCATTTAATCCTCTTATTTCCTTGATAACAAATAGAAACCTCACTTGCTCAGACACAATTCAAGAAACAAACCTCTGAAGCAACATCAATAAACAACCACTCTTCCAGAATATTTGCAATATCAGATGCCTGTTGTATTGGCTCATAATAAAGTCCGGAACTAAGAATTGCAAATCTGAAGTAAAATTTAGTTAGTCTCAATTCAATGACAATCTTATGTTCAAGTAAATGACCTCACTATTAATTTCAGCATCTCTATTGTGTCAAAAGTTACACAAGTTTTTGTACCCAAAAAAATAGCTACACTAGTTCAGGTTAATATATAAACTTTCATATCACTTACATCTTATTTCTAATCAAATGACGGCAGTAGCCGATGTTAGAATGCTTGCGCCAGTCCATGGAGATCACTACTTGGTTTCTTTCATATTGGTGGCTTAAATCAAAACCTCTCTTTTGAGGAAGGATTAGGACAAATGATGAATAATTTTGTGGAATTCGTCTGCAGGAATTCCCAAGATTAGAACCCTGGGCATACATCTTCCCGTTTTATCAGAAACTATTTATCCTGCAGGCGCTACAAGCCACTAGAAATAATTAATGTAGTTAAAGAAAATACCATAATGTTCATTATATGATATCAATACTCCGAATACAGAAAACGATATCATGAGAAATGTAAACATGCTCATAATTGAGTTTGCACACATACAAATACCAATGTGAAAAGCAATTAGAAATAGTTTAAGAATCATAATATAACGAAGAAGCCATCCATCTTAAAATGGCATCACAACCAAATAGAACAAAATTGGGTCATCAAAATTCAAAATTTCAAAAAGAAAAGGTCGTGACAAAGATCTAAGACTAATCTAAATTACATCATTCAAGTACGTAATCTTGGACAGCTTCCCTACTTGGAAGATATTGAAAAAATATCATTAGCATTTACAGAAGAAAATTGTTCTCCTTAGTTCCAAACTCTTCTTCCATATGGTAAGTAGCTTTACCATATAAGCAGAAAGAAAGGAAGGGAGGGTATCAACAGAGCTTGTATTCACGTATCATAATCAATTAAGTATCAAAGTAACACCACCATTTTTTTTTTATCATGGTATCTCCATAAGAGATAATACTAATAAACATTTTTTGCAACTTATGAAAGGGTTTCCGTGAATCCCCTACCGCCTTTGTTTAAATAATACATATGTCTACACTCGAAATTATAAAGTTCTGTGTGTATGTTTTTTTTTTTTTTAATACTATGTATTGTAGTTTTGTACATCACCAGCAAAGAAATTTAAGTCTAAAACCTTTTATAAACCATGTATAAATCCTTCCCCGGTTCAACGTTATTCAAACTCAATGTGACCAATGTCACAAGCTCTAATAATGTTAACCTAGCTACCCAGAATAGCAGAGCTACTATTCAAATTTCACCACTGGAAAAAAAAAAAAAAACCACCCCAGTTGCAATCTCAGCTATTTAATGCCATATGTTTCATCATGAATTTAAAAAATATTAAAAAAAGTTCTTTGAACAACACGTGAACTTCAAAAAATAATAAATTAAAGCAACCCCAGATTTAGAATATCCAATTAATAAACTATAGAGCAATAAATAATTCAAATGGGGTATTAAATTAACAACTTCCTCATTTTCTTTATGCTCAGGTAGTCAACTAAAAGAATTAAAAAAAATAAAATAGAATCTTTACAATTCTTGACACCATTTACACTCCATCAACATCCAATCGCCTTCTTTATCTGCAAAGCCTCACTTTCTTTAATTCAAAGCAGAAAAAAAATCGCTTAATCAGGTTAATAATTTGAATTTTTTTAATTAATAACAAAATTAGATTAATAGAAAGACTCAATTCACAATTCAATGGCTACCAAAGGGGTTTGAAGAAAAGTGTAAGGGAATGATCATTAGAGGGTGGGCCCCGCAGGTGCTGATATTGGACCACCCCGCTATCGGTGCGTTTTTGACGCATTGTGGGTGGAACTCCACCGTAGAGGCTGTCAGCGCTGGGGTTCCGATGATCACGTGGCCGGTGCATGACGAGCAGTTCTACAACGAGAAACTGATAACTGAGGTGCGGGGGATTGGGGTGGAGGTGGGTGCAGAGGAGTGGAGTCTCATTGGTTATCAGGAGAGGAAAAAATTGGTGGGCAGAGATTGCATAGAGAAGGCTGTGAGGAAGTTGATGGACGGTGGTGATGAAGCTAAGGAAATCAGACGGCGCGCTCAAGAGTTTGGGAAAAAGGCTGGACGGGCTATTCAAGAAGGTGGGTCATCCCACCAGAATTTAACTGCCCTCATTGATGATTTAAAACGATTAAGGGACTCTAAGCCTCTTGATTAGGAATGTAAATAATTCGAACGGCTTAGAGTCTGGCATGGCTTTAGCCTGATTAAGCTTAATCAATTTTAAAAATAACGCAGAGTTCAGCTCGTTAATAGAAAGAAAGCGCAAGAAAAATATAATAAAATAAAGAACAATGATAAGGAGAAAGTGAGAGAGAGAATGGAACCTGCCAAGTTTGTCTTTTTTTTTTTTTTTTTTGTCTCTTTGTGCGTGAATCTCTGTGTGTCGTTTTCTCGAATTACGGAACAAAGAGGGTTTTGTGTTGTGGGTTTAATTGGCTTAGGGTTTAAATGAATTAATAAAAAAAATAATCTTATTAGATTCGGCCCGATTATTGATTTTAATAAAGGAAAAAATATCTATTCTTTTAAAGGATATAAGTTTATATCCTTTTAGATACTAACTGCTGATTTCCGTCCATCAATGATTATAATCTATTGGGCCAAACTTAATGGGCCAAATTTATTTTTAATTAATTAATAATTTTAATCCAATAAATTATAATCGTCGATGGACGGAAATCAACGGTTAGGATCTAAAAGGATATAAGCTTATATCCTTTAAAAGAATAGATGTTATTCCCTTTAATAAATTATAATTGTTAGATTAATGAAAATCAACGATTAGGATTTGATAGTAACAAATAATAAGAAAAAAATAATAATAACTATAATCTCTTCCTATTTTATTACCTTCTCCTTATTTTATTAATACATTAGGTGATTTTTTCTCTCGATGAGTCTATATCTTCTCTCCCTTTTTTCTTTCCGTAGGCCTGGACTCTTTTTAATCATGTACTATTATCGCCATTCGTTTAATTAATAATTTTTTATTAAAATTAAATTTATTTTATACATATCTTTTTTCCAGTTTTATAATTAATTTTAATAGGTATAATAATTATACAATAGAACAATCCCTACACACGTGAACGAAAAAAAAATGCAAAGCAAGACAAAAAAAGAAGCAACACTCCCCTATTTATAGGCAAAGTCGTAATTTATTTATTTAAAAAAAAATTTAGCTTGTAGAATACACTTCACCGTTACCAATGCAGAAAATAGTGGAGGGAACTTAATTGTTAGGTGACTGATTTCAATTTCAATTAATACACTTCCCATCCATTTCAAATTTTAATTTTGAATTTTGAATTGAAAACATCATTAATACAGCTGATTGTCATCAAGTATTTTATAATGATTTAAAAGAAACTCTCCCTCCTTTGTAGAATTTTTTTATTTACGAAATAAAAAATATTTCTAAAAAAAGTAACTTTTCAAACTATCTCCAGTGTGAATACAAAGCTGAGAATTAAGGAGGAAGTGACACGTCAACAAAGTTTGGTTCTCCTTTCTATATATTAAGATTCAACAATTGAATATAAGTAATAAGATATAACCAAACCAATATAAATCTCATTTCATCTCCTTTACTCGTAGCACTTTATTAATATAACAAAATTTTAAAAATTTTAAATTGTTAAATTTTTTTCCAAAATTATATTTTTAAAATTCAATTTACTTTTTTTTTAGCTTGAAGTCATTTGACAAAATAATAAGAAATAAATAAATAATTAATTTAATAAGATAAATTATTTGATGATTAGTTGAATCAGGAACAGATTTAATTTAAATAAAATAATACATTTGAAATTAAATCAAAATAATACATTTGATTTGTAATGTCGTATATCAAAATAATGTATTGAAAAACATCAAAGAAAAAATAAATTATGATTGGACACGGGGAGAAGATATATTTGCCATCACAAAAGTTAATTTTTTTTATAACTAATTTAATTATCATTAATTTTTGTAAATTTGACCGTTATAAGTTATCGAGAATTAATAATTAATTAATAAGAATAATCTAATAATCTTAATAAATTATAGTAATTATATTGAAGAAAATCAACTTTATTAAGCTGATTATAATTAAAATAAAATAAAATAAAATAAGTTCATTACAAGAGTGATAAATGTGATAAATATATGCATAACCCGTTCATAAAATGGGTTAGGGATTAGGCAGGGTTTATTCATGCTTTAAAGCACTCATTCAACTACGTGAGAACCGAATCCCCAAATATTTTCGCCGCCGTTTATCTGGCTTCTCCGGCACTTTCTTCTCGATAACCACCACGATCCCGTCGGTTACCGTTTCATCTCGTCTTCCACTGCCGCCGCTGCCGTCGGTTTCCTCGAAGTCCTTCTTCGACTTTGATGCTGCTGCTTCTTTGATTCGGTGTCCGTTTGAAGGTCGGTTCGTCGAGCTTTCTTTTGGGGCTGGTTTCGTTTTGATGATTGTCTTTGTTCCTCTTCTTTGTGCAGTTCTTGTTTTTGTTCTTGCGGAGTGTGTTTGCTTGAACTAATTAATGTTCTCTTTTGAATCGGAAGCTTTAATACATAATACATTATCCTGTTTTTTGGCAGTTAATATTAGAATTTTCTTATGCTTTGCCCTAGTGTGATAAATTATAGCGGATGCCACTAGGAATTAGGATTGAAGAAGAAACAAAAGGAGAAGAGGAAGAGCGTTGAGAGTATCTAATTCGTTTCTTGTTCTCTTGAATTTGGTAATTTTAAGTTGTTATATAGAACGTCTAACACTTCCTTTTCCTTTAATAAATGCATTAATGCATTAAAAGTATTGGTATTTTTTTTTTTGGGAAGAGTGTGTATTATTTTAAAGCATGTAAAGTTGTTGTGTCATTTTAAGTGAGAGAAAGAGATAGATAAAGGAGGAGAGAGAGTTGACCAAAAATTATAAAGGTGTGGGTCCCACCTCTTTGTGAAAGTGAAAGGATATAAGCTCTTTCATTTAAAATGACAAATATTTTTTCTATTTTTTTTTCCATTTTTTTTATTCTGAACATTTTAGTTGGTATGCTTGAAGTATACAATAGTTTTGATCTGAAGTGGTTTGTACTGTTGGTTGTTTGTACTGGTGGAGCACTAAAATCCTGTACGTTTTAGAGTAACACAACTGCACCTTGCAATTAGTTTGTTATCCTACGTGGAAGGTAGTTGTAACAGTTCTGAACAGTCTTAAACTGTTTCAGTTTAGTTAACTGAAGCTTTCTTAGCAAGTTAATCATACTTCTATAAACTCTTAGTTCTTGTTGCCTGTCTCATAATTGCTCTAAGCCCTTTTCTATTTTTGATTCTTGATCTGGATCTATTGACAATTTGACATATAGGTTCTGTTTTATGTAATATAACCCAAATAAGATAAGGATATTGTCAAATTTGTTAGTTTTGGTTTCCCTGTTCAGTTTACTTTGGACTATGGTTGTGGATAATTAAATTAGGCCAAGGGATTTGTTTGTAAAATGTAAACTAACTCTATCTCTCTTTTTTTTAATTTTTTTTTTCTACTTAGTTCTTGACCATGGTTACTGAAGGAACCAAAAGGCCTCAAGTTTCAATACCTATGCCAGCACCACCTCGCAAAATCAATGTGCAGAAATATGCAGAATCCCGTGCCCTTGAGCTCCAGAGTCTTCAGTGTATCATAGAAAATAGAGTAAACAACGATTATAAGTCTCAAAGGAACAAGAGAAGAAGAACGACAGCATTTGATAACCAAATTGCAAGAAAGGGGTGTAGAAGAAAGAGGCAGAGACTGGGAACAGTTGATAAAGGCCATGGTGAATCAGTTTTGGGGAAGAAGCAGATCAAGAAGCTTCCTCGGCGTGTTCGGCGAAGATATGAACTTAAGATGAACCCAGAGAATGGTTTTTGCACTTCTGGGGATGGAACCAAGAGGCTGAGAACTCATGTTTGGCATGCAAAGAGGTTTGCAATGACCAAGCTTTGGGGCTACCACCTTCCTCTAGGTCTTCAAGGAAGGTAGGTAGGTCTTATTTGGTTAACATCATCAACAACAACATCACTTTTCTCCTAAACTAGTTTGGGTTGGCAGTCGATAACCCAAATAAAAGCAAGATGAGGTACTTGTTTGGTTAAAAACAACAAGAAAAAAGAAAAAAGAAAAAAGAAAAAAAGAGAAATTGGTGAAGTGTCAATGAGGGAACTTGAAACCAGTTAATTTCTTGATGTATGGTTGTTTCACATTGTTGGGATGTGTTTGAATTGGACTCCAGAAACCTGATGACATAAACATGTGTGTGCTTTACATTCTCTTTGAAACACTAACAAGGATTATGCTTGTGTTTACACAGAGGGAAAGGTTCGAGGGCACTCTTGAAAAGGCTCAAACACGGGGTGCTAATACATGATGCAAGCTATTACACTGCTGTTCAATTGGAGGGTCCAGAGGTAGTTTATTTTAGTTTTAGTTTGTTTTTATTTTTATTTTGGAAATATCTTCTTTTATATTGTTAATCGTCTGAGTCTTAAAGTAAGCTGTTATTCTGGCTGAAACATCTTCAAATGCATGTTTACAGGCTCTCAGCCCCAAAAAGTAGTGGTTTAGTTTTCTTAGTTTTATTTAAGGTTGACTCTTGTTTACAGGATTCGTTAGTTTCAGTGTTACAAATGGTACTGGTGCCCTTTCCAGGAACAGTAACACATCCTGGAAATCATGACGACTCGGATCTTTCTGGTGTCACCTATGGAACTGCAATGGTAGGTGATCCTGTTGCTGACTTTATTATGAGCCAGGTTGATTTGGTTAAGGAAAATTAATTTTTGTTTCTGGACAGCTTTATCAAATTGGAGCACCAGTTTCTCAGCCAATTGCTCCTGTAACCTATATATGGAGACCAACTTTCCAACAAAATACAAGTACAGAGCAAGATGGCAGAAATTATAATACTTGTGGACAACATGATATCAGTGATGAGTCAGTGAAACATGATGTCGATTTATGTGAAGAATCAGAGAGAATGAAGCACGGTTCTTCATTTAGACACCTATGGGTGTGGATACATGCTTCTGCCTTTGAAGAAGGATATAATAATCTAAAACTTGCCTGCCAGAAAGAGGTTCACTTCCTTCTTTAGCTTCATTATATGGACATCTTGTTTCTTTTATTTTTTCATAGTATATGTGCACTTGATAAGGATGAAAACAAGTTGAAGTTTACTGAAACCAGTACTTCAGCACATTTATGTAACAACAAATTTCATTTTGTCTTGCTATTCTCTGTTCTTATTGCCTTTTTGGAAGGCTTTCATTCCCGCAATGACAATGTTGGGAGCTTGGACATAATATGTATTTCTGTTCGAGTTTACTGCTTTATTTTTCAGATGGTCATAGATTATTGTGTCTCACTCTCTCACTAGCTTGTCATTATTCCTTAAGTGCTGTAACTCAGTAAGAAAGTTTTTGTCTGAAGTTACTAGGATTATTCCTGCTAGATGGCTGCTTATATGTGATTTTGAAAAAATATGTTATTTAAGAGACAAAAATTATTGTCAATTGAATCACTAAGTTGGTTAGTGTTTCTGGCCATGATTTTAATTTCCATGCTGAAGTTGAAGAACTTAGAATTGTAAACTGTACAATGAAATTTTTCTGTAAACTCACATTATATGCTTTTTATGTTTATCACTATTCAGATGGAAAAGAGGGGATTCTCAATTAATTGCTTTTCACTTGAGGGTCAACTTGCGAAATTAGAATTAATGGGATCCGGGACATTTCAACTTCTTCAGAAGATATTGCATCCTGTTAGGTGTGTTTTAAATTAGAAAAACAGTCTTCTTTGTTTTATTTTTTATTTTTTACATTAATGATCCAAAATGGCTTATTTTTCATGTTGGCATTACAGTGTTTCAGAGAATAATTGGCAATTAAAGAAACATGTGGCTATAGAAGAAGACTGTATTTGTCAGAGTAGTAAGTCATCCTTACTGAAAAATCAGGAGCATTTTTCTTCTCGTGCAATGTTATCTCTTAACATTAAGGATCCTCGAGAATTGCCGGGGAAAAGGACTGTTGTTCCAACAGAGCCAATTTCGACTAAGGAACTTAGTGATGCACAGGAAACTAATTATGAAGAGCTTGCTGATTTGGGAGACATGTTGAAGAAGAGTAAAGATTTACCTTCATTATCATGGTCAAAACATGAAGACAGCCAGTCTAATATTGATGATCTATGGTATGCTCAGATCAGAGGGTTGAGGCCCCCAGTGAAAGAGAGTGTCCTTTCTAAGGAGAAACATCGTGAACGTATGCTTAATTTCTGCCTTGATGATATAGATTCTGGGGAGGCAGACTCTTCAACTGAGGTGCAATGCTCGAGATCTTGCCCTATTCTGCTTTTAAAAAATGATTTCAAGGAATCAATTATAGGGTAACTTCTGTAATCTACTTTTAAATGTTGTTCATTAACATCTATTAAAAAACTATTGCTTGTATTCTTTAAAAACAAATGATAGGTATTTTTTATCACCTTAAGATATATAAGAAAAATTAAGACAAACTGATCATAATTTAAGTTTTAATTTCCTACCGATCAAACATGTTCCTTTGCAATGCATGAAGTATTTATGTCAAAACCTTTGCCGTTATATAGTATATAATAAACGCTTCTGTGATTACCTTCCAGATGGTCCGTTATACTTCCCTTAAGTTGGGTCAAAGCCTTCTGGATTCCACTCATTTCTAATGGGGCGCATGCAATAGGTTTGCGAGAAAAGCACTGGATTGCATGTGAAGTAAGTATTTTCACCACCTACCCCAAAAAAATTGCAATTTTCTGTGTTTTGTGTTAATTATTAAATATTGTATGCAAACTTTTCTCTTATGCAGATGGGTATACCATTTTTCCCTTCAGATTTCCCAGATTGTAAGGCATACTCAAGTTTTATGGAAGCTAAAGCTGCTTCATTCAATGAAAAAGAAGAACTTCGTCCTCCTTCAAGAAGGCATTTGAGAGTTCCCACTCTGCCCCCATGGGGTATTGTTCGCATTACTTTCAACAAAGAGATTAGTGCAATGGAGACTTCTGAACCTTCAACTAGGGAAGATTTGACCAATGTTAATTCATCTCGGAACTCTTGTCCTGGAAACTTTAAAATTCCAAATTTTGACAGTGATAATAATTCGTTTGATGGAATTGTAGCAAGGACAGGTTGTATGCTGACTACTTTCATCAATGAAACCAAAGCTAGTCAATTGCTATTGTTTCCTTGTGCAGCTGATGGAAATGCCATAATCTCTAAGTTTATTAATGGCGAACAAAAGCTGGATCTGACGCATAGAAGCTCTGTCATTTATGACCATAAGCTATGTTTTCTAAGGGTTCATCTTCACCCATTCAAGAAAGGCTTTTTCGAAGAGGGGGCGGTTATATGTGCACCATATCCTTCTGATATATCTTTATGGACTTCAAGGTAATTAACATTGAAATTATGAGTTCCTATTTTATTATTAATTATTTTTTTTCTTGATTAGAAATTAAAAACAGTCCATTATTCCTTTCAATTTTATTTTATTTTCTTGTTGATTCTTCAAACATTTGTATGTCGTTGGGTACAGGATAATCAAATATGTTGTTCAAGTGTTAGTGTTTTTACGTAGGAGTTATTCTCTTGTGAATTTCTCAATTAATTATATAGGCTAGAATGTGGGGATGGATAGCAGCTAACTAGGAAAAAATGATTTTCTTTTGTCTTCTTTATTGTTCATGCATTCTGTAAAGAACCTTGAGGTCACTACCCCAAAAGCTAGCTCAAAGGGTGGGAGTGCCCAAGACCTTATAAACTTCACATTAGTTGCACATACATCAATGTGGGACTATATATCTCAACACGCCCCCTCACACAAGAGCCCATTGGGCTTGAAGAGTGGACAATGCAACAGGCCCAGCCTACCTGTACTAAGAAACGCCACAAGAGAAAGTGGGGGGCGGTGAGGCTCTGATACCATGTAAAGAACCTTGATGAAATATTATTGAATTGTGTATAATCTGTACAAAGGGTTCTCTATTTATAGAGAATACTTGACCTAATTTTGACCTAATGGGCTTGGCCCAATACAACAAATAATGACTAAATAATAACTAAATAATAACTAAATAATTATTATTTACAACACTCCCCCTCAAGCTGAGGAATAGATATTTATCATTCCCAGCTTGTTAGTAAGTTCTTGAAATCTGTCTGAAGGAAGCCCCTTTGTTAATAGATCAGCTAATTGATGCCCAGTGGGAATGTATGGAGTGGTAATCAACCCGCTATCAAGTTTCTCTTTGATGAAATGGCGGTCGACCTCAATATGTTTAGTCCGATCATGTTAAACTGGATTATGAGCTATACAAATAGCGGACTTATTATCACATAGCAGCTTCATAGGTCCCTCACATTTTATTTTGAGATCATCAAGTACAATTTTCAGCCACAGTAACTCACAAATGCCTTGAGCCATAGCTCGAAATTCAGCTTCTGCACTTGATCTGGCAACCACATCTTGTTTCTTACTTCTCCATGTCACCAAGTTACCGCAAAGAAACATGCAATAACCAGTGGTAGAACGACGGTCAGTCACGAATCCAGCATAATTAGCATCTGTGTAGACTTCTAAAGATAGATTGCCATCACGTCAGAATAACAATCCTTTACCAGGAGTACCTTTAAGATACTGAAGAATTCTCTCTACTGCCTGCATGTGTTTTTCCTTTGGATCGTGTATAAACTGACTGACAACACTAACAACATAAGCTAGGTCTGGTCTAGTATGGGTCAGATATATCAATTTCCCAACTAGCCGTTGATATTGTCCTTTATCAACTGGAGGACTCTCTTCTTCATAGCCCATCTTGTGATTCTCCTCAATAGGAGTATTAGAGGGTTTACACCCGAGCTTTCCTGCTTCTTTGAGAAGATCCAAAACATATTTCCTCTGGCTGATAAAAATTCCTTTGCTTGAATGAGCTACTTCTATCCCTAGGAAATATCTCAGTTTCCCAAGGTCTTTGATTTCAAACTCAGAGGCAAGCCGTGTTTGCAGAATCTGTCTCTCCACAAAATCATCACCTGTGATAATAATATCATCAACATATACAAGGAGCACAGTAAGCTTCCCATTTTGGGAGTGCTTGAAGAAAAGAGTGTGATCTCCTTGACTCTGTCTGTATCCTAAGGTCATCATAACCTTAGTAAACCTACCAAACCAAGCACGAGGTGACTGCTTCAATCCATACAAGGCCTTTTTTAATCTACAAACTTTATTTCCCCCATTCACAGAATCAAAACCAGGCGGGATTTTTATGTAGACTTCTTCTTCTAACTCACCATTGAGGAAAACATTTTTCACATCAAATTGATTTATATCCCAATTGTAATGGGCAGCAAGGGATAACAAGATTCTCACTGTATTCATCTTTGCAACTGGAGCAAAGGTTTCTTCATAATCAATGCCATAGGTTTGAGTGTAACCTTTGGCCACTAATCGAGCCTTGTATCTCTCAAGAGTGCCATCAGAATTATATTTCAGGGCATAAACCCATCTGCACCCTACTGCTTTCTTTCCGTTGGGTCTATCAATAACCTCCCATGTTTTATTTTTCTCCAAAGCATTCATCTCCTCTTGCATGGCTTGAGCCCAATTCCTATCTTTCAAGGCTTCATGTACTGATTTTGGGCTTCATGTACTGATTTATGTAAAGAACCTTGAGGTCACCATCCCAAAAGCTAGCTCAAAGGGTGAGAGTGTCCAAGACCTTATAAACTTCACATTAGTTGCACATACAACCAATGTGGGACTATATATCTCAACACATTCCGTCTGGAATCTTGCAAATGTTGTATTGTGTAATTTATGAGATTTTCCCTGCCTCTTTAAAGTCCTAGATGAAAATGAAGTGATGAATTCTTTTCTTGTTGCTTGGAATGAATATTAAATTTTAAAACTTCATTGCAAAGTAATATAAATCTCTTAAATATTTTGTGTATGCCGGTGCAGTTCGGAGAAAAGTGAAGAGGGACTTCAAATGTCTCAGTCTGCTATGAGATTATACTTCAAAGAGCATTCCTCCGGTGAATGGGAAATGCAGATACCAGATGATTCGTCTCACCGGTGGCCTATTGGCTTTGTCACAACATCTTGTGTTCAAGGAAGGTTGTGAAATCTTATCTTTTTGGACTCTAATCATTTTCTAATAGTCTATGTTTAAAATATGTACAAGAACCTATAAATGTCTCGTTGTAGAGAATCTTACTGGGTGCAATGTGATTGCAGCAAGAGGCTTGTAGCAGAAGGCTTTTGCGAGGCCGTTCTACTATCTCATTTAAGAAAGGAACAGTGGAAGGAGATCCCTACGAAGCAGAGGAGGAGGGAAATATATGTACTTGTCAGAAATTTAAGATCTGTAGCATATAGACTTGCTCTCGCCTCTGTTGTCCTGGAATTTCAGGAAAATGACATCGATTTCTTGTAAAATGTTTTTACATTATTAATTTTGGTTGAGTTCTTTATTCTTTTATTTTGGTTAAATTTGATATTCTGTGACGACCCCTGTATGCATCCAATCCAAGGGCTGCACCGTTAAGCGTATTCAAATATTTATTTTAAAAAATAATATATATATATATATGTAATATGTTATTTTACTTATTTTTTTTTTACTTAACTTTGTCTATTACTTTTCAATACTGTTAGATCAGAATTTCAATTACGTTTATCATTTCTTTCTCTTATTGAGATTCTGATCTAATGATATTGAAGAATGATAGGCAAAGGTAAATAAAAGAATGATATATATATATGGGTCTTTATTTTATCATGTTACATGAAGTCATGCAACACTAAAAGATAAAAAATAATAATAATAAAAAAATATGACAAGATACTTTGTTCAATGATTTTGTTTTGTCTTATCTTAACATAATTAAATTATTTTTCTTACAACATAACTCTTATTTATCTATATATATATATATATATATATATATATATATATATATATATATATAGATAGAGAGATACCAGTGTCAAATTTGAATTTTGACACCTTATTTAGGAGCCATTAGATCAAAAAAGATCAACGACTCTGATTTGTAAGCATGTGACACCATTGATCTTTTTTGATCTAATAGCTCCTAGATGAGGTGTCAAAATTCAAATTTGACATTGGTGTCATGGGATCCTACCTGATATATATATATATATATGAGTTATGAAGTGTGAGTTCCTCCATGGTAAATCAATTTTTAGCAACATAAAGCCATGAATATGAGTTTCTCCATGATAAGTCGATTTACAACAGCATACACACATAATATTCAAACGCTCAAGGTTACACCATAGCATTTTCAATCAAGGGGGTCAACATCAACACACTTACATTGTCCCTAGTTCAATGAATATAATCTTCCACTCGTCTTGATCTTTCCTTTCTCCAAGCTGATTGAGCCTCGATCACAAGGACGTCCTCACCAACTAGTCTCCGTAGAATTTTATTCTCTCCAAAAAGTTCCTTTTTCAAGTGACTCAACCCATTCTTATCCTTGTATCCCCTCAGATTGCACATGCAACTCTTTCAGAATTACATGCAACAAGGATCTTTGCTGTTCAAGTCATCAGACCACAATTTCAAACATCATGGCCATAACTGAATATACTAAAAGGAAAAAAAAATACTAAAGCTGGCCTAGGTTTACCTTATAAGCTTTACTTCGGTTTTCAGTCCTCACTGTCCTTTCCTTTTGATTCTCGTCTTAGTACCACTTCAAAGACTCCTTAAAAAACCTTCTTAGCCGTAGGACAGAAGTCAATTACCTACACAAGGAAATTCCTATTTCACTCCTTCGATGGGAGTACTTAGAGTAAAATCAAGGAAAGGACAGTTAGATATCCCTCTTTCCTAGTTACATATTTAAAGATTTAGGAGAGCTTTGTTCTTCTTCCTTTAACTCAGGCTCATCTTGTACCATGCATAATAATTCTGACATGCAAAAACAGAAATGAAGTGTGTTATGGATATATTCATCATATCCTAACTACTTACTCAAGAGATTGTCAAAGGATAGATTCTCTATCATCCTAACAATATCAAACAACAAGGATACTCAAGATAAGGACCTCATCCCAACAGAAAGGGAGATGAATCCTAATGCAATCTGGAAGTCTCAAAGGACCCAAGCCTAGGAAGGTAATCCTTATAAATAAGAGCCTAAAAATCCCAGGTACAAACTTTTGAACCTATTTACTATTACTGCCAACACTGTGCACACACCCACGTCTTGGCTATAAGCCTATTGCTTGTGCGCAGTGATTGAGACATTGGCCATAGGCCAGATACATACCTATTCTTACGGTATCTCTGAGCGCATACCTTCTGGTATAGCAATACGATCAATCTAGGACCTAACATTGGCGTTGTCTATGAGAAACGATAAATTTTGATTCCCATTCCACAATGACAAACACTCGTTCGACCTCTAGCACTGCCCAACCGCCGCCACACCTATCTGCGCTGGAACATCTCCAGTCAACAGCATCTCCCGTGCTAGTGGATGTCCGGGTCGGAGAGGTCGGCACACAGGTGCCGCCCTTAAGAACCCAGACCAACGGGACAGTGGAGACAGCGCGCCCACAGAATAATCAGTCAGAAGATGTGACCACTAGGGCCATGAATGCAATCCTTCAAAGGATGCAAGAGATGGAAAACAGATTTATGGCCCAACAAAGGTTAGATGCCCAGAGGATGGAGGCATTGAAGGCTGAAATACGAAACCAAAACACTGAAGGCCGAGCTGGAGGAAACTGGCGGACCGCAGCAACAGAACACGGCCGCGGCAGCAGAGAATGCGCAGAATCTGAGCAATCACCAAGAAGGCGGAGGGCCTGTCAACAACCAAGGAGATAATTATCTCCATGATGAGGAGGCTAATGATAGCCCATTCACTGAAAGGCTCATGAACTTGGCAATCCCGCCGAGATTCAAGAGTGCCAGGATACCTCCGTATGACGGAAGTCAAGACCCGGATGCCCACTTAGAGGCTTTCAAGACCGAGATGTTGTTCAACAGGATAACTGGACTTATTAAGGCCAGAATCTTCGCGAAGACATTGACAGGTCAGGCAATGACGTGGATAACCAGGCTCCCCAGGAACTAGATCGACTCGTTCAAGGACCTGGCTTGAACTTTCCGTCTGAATTTTGCAACGAGTAAGGCACATCCAATGCCGGGCTATGCCTTGGGAAGAATCCGGCAAAAAGAGAATGAATCGTTGAGGAAATACCTCGACAGATTTAAAGATGCCGCCCTCAAGGTTTGGAATCTAACTGAGCCAGTACACCTGCATCTGATCATCTCAGGATTAGATGGTGATTCTCCACTCGCAAAGTCAATCTATAAGAACCCGGTCAACGATCTGGAGGAGTTTCGACATAGGTCGGACAAGTACATTGACGTTGAAGACATGCAGAAGGCTTATGGGGAGTCCAAAGGACGAAGCCCAAGCAAGAAAAACAAAGACCGGGATCAGAAGGGGTCGAAAAAAAGAAACGACTCCCATGACAAGAGACCAGATGACCGATCTCCAAGGACCAAGTATGACACCTACACGCCATTAAACATGTCCAGATCTCGGATATGGAAAGAAGTGGCTTAGACTGAAATGCGCAACGTCGAAAGACCTCGACCCCTCGAGAGCAAAATGGGATTGGACAGGAACAAATACTGTGCTTTCCATGATCAAAATGGTCACACCACGAATGACTGTTGGGACTTCCGAGATGCTATTGAGAAACATGTCAGCGAGGGGAAATTGAAGCAATACATTATCCAAACTCAGGGTAAGAAGAATAGTAAGCGAAGGCAAAGAAGCCAGAGCAGAAGTCGTAGCCCGAAGAGAGAGGATAAGAAGGATCAGGAACAAGACCACCCTTCGAAGGGCAAAAAGGTCGAAGATAAAGACGAGGAATTCCAAGAAGCTGAGTTTGAGTGCAACGTGATAAGCGGAGCTCTGGGTGGAGGAGGCGACACGACAAATGAAAGAAGAAAGTACCTGAAGGAGGTCATGTTGGTAAGAGATAGGCCGACCTTCAAAGGGAAAGCCAGCAATCCTGCTCCCTCAAGACTGTTCTTTACTCAAGAAGACCTAGAAATGGTCGTACCTGGACACACCGATGGTCTGGGGATCACCGGCGTGCTAGTTAACTGCCGGGTTAAGAAAATCTTCATTGACCACGGAAGCTCGGCGGACATACTCTTTTGGAACGCTTTCCAAAAGATGAACTTGGATGAAAAAGACTTGAAACCATGTTCCACCGAGCTGATTGGGTTCAACGGAGAGCCGTCCCCTCCAAAGGGCTACATAAACTTGAAGCTGACCTTAGGAACGAAGGACTCATTCCGATCTGGAAGGGTACGGTTCGTCGTAGTAGACGCTTTTTCTTCCTACAATCCACGACTGGAACATGTTAATCTCCACCAAACATCAAGCACTGAAGATGCTGGGGACAAAGAATGAGGTCATCACCATAAGGGGAGATCACACTGACCTCAATAAAGTATGCCCAAAGGACTCGTACCTGATGCCGAACATTGACCAGCTAGTTGATAATTCATCAGGATTTCAGCTACTGTCATTCATGGATGCATACTCCGAATATAATCAGATCCCGCTACACCCAGATGACCACGAGAAGACCACATTCATCTCGGAAAAGGGGAATTTTTGCTACAATGTCATGCCTTTCGGCCTCAAAAACGCCGGGGCGACCTACCAAAGGATGATGAACCGCGTCTTCCAAAACCAAATTGGAAGGAACCTGGAGGTGTACATTGACGACATGATCGTCAAATCGACACATATAAATACACATGTAGCCGACCTCAGAGAAACTTTCGAGCAACTGAGAGCTCGGAAAATCAGACTGAACCCGACCAAATGCTCTTTCGGGGTACCCGTTGGAAAATTTCTGGGTTTCATGCTCACCAACAGGGGAATTGAGGTCAACCCCGACAAATGTAGGGCCTTCCTCGAGATGAAGCAACCAGAAAGTAAGAAAGAAATTCAGCAGCTCACAGGTCACCTTGCGGCCTTAACCAGGTTCCTGCCTAAGTCGGCAAAAAAAGCATTGCCTTTCTTCAAGCTTTTGAAAAAAGAGGCGGAGTTCGGATGGGGATAAGACTGCAAAAGGGCATTCGAAGAGATAAAGAGTTGCTTAGCCACCCCACCTGTGCTGTCGAAACCAGAGCCCAGCGAAACACTGATCCTATATCTTTCTCTAGGAGAAGAGGCTGTTAGTGCAGCCTTGGTAAGAGAGACCGACAAGGGGCAACAGCCGATATACTTCGTAGGTCGAACATTACAAGGACCTGAGCTCTGGTATCAGAAGCTGGAAAATGTGGCATTCTCCCTACTTACCACGACAAGAAGACTCCGACCTTACTTCCAAGGGCATCGAGTGGTCGTCAGAACCAACCAGC